CAGCATATGGATTACCGAAAATACACAAAGAAGGCGAGCCACTAAGACTGATAGTCAACAATAAATATGGTCTTCATATATTCAAGTCCAGGTAATTTCCTAAACAGCATTCTATGGTGGGATTTTCGATAAATCTAAGTTTTATTTGCTATATCAATCGACTACATTACTGATTTTTCGTTTATAAGTAGGTTTTAGAGAGTACCAGTATATCATATAAATGAGAGTTCGTAATTCACCTCAGTCACATCTGCTCTGTCATCATAAGGCACCCGCTGCAATGTCTTAGTGGTTAGTATGCCGAGATTATATGCTGAATAGTGCTGATGAGACCTAGGTGAGATCGGAATGGCAGTCCAGCCTGGGTGAGAATACCTTTTGGGAAGCATGACTATGTGAAATTCAATTAAAACATGAGTTCTACGCCTAGTATTGTGGGAGAATTAATCTATCAATCCTTCCTAGCCTTATAGGAAATAGGGTAGTCTCGAAAACCAACTTATGATACGAAAAGCTGAATCAAAACTTTCTCCAGCCCTATCCCACATCATCCCCTAAGCCTGCATATCCAGGGTTCGAATTTAACTTAGAATTTGGGCGATAATTAAGTGAAGTTGTGATTTTAACCCAGTTTGGGGGAGAATTCTATTTGATTCATGGGTAGTATATCTATAACTGGTATAAGGTGCATGCGATAATAAATTTTAACGAAAAACCAGTTGCTTTATTTAATTCATGGTGGATAGTAAAATTATCCTAGCCTCGCAATATGAAAAACGATGTACCTTATCAATAATAAGATTTCTGATAGTTGTGTATTTCTTCTCTAAACTATTTTTGATTCTTGATTACAAGCAAACATGCTGATTAATAAATCAGTAGAAAACAAGCTATCAGCTAACGATATTTTATCAATCTTTTTTTAGAATTAACTAACACTTTGTATATTCACTATTTTGGTGTAAAAAGTTACCAAATTATACATTTTGATAGATTTTAGTAATTCTTTATTTATATTTTGCTTTAGAAACTAACTATTATTAATCTAACTGTTTTATTAGGGATATTTTACAATGGGATTAGTGTTGGAAGTTAATTTTCTTCAAACTTAGTTATCCGGAGAAAGCTTTAATCACCAATTATTTTTCCTTATACGCCAATGTTGGCACAATTTTTATATACACTCGCAGACTAGTCACATGATTCTGGCCTCTTCCATTGTTTATTATAGCAAACCTTTGTTCTAAGCCAGAAATCAGACCAACAACCAGCTGCATTTGCTGGAAGTTCGTCTGGTCCACCCTCTCGAGGAATGCGCACTCAGCTGTTTGGTCGAACCAGTCCCACAAAGGCACGCTACGGGGAACCAACAACCAAGCTCGTGGTTGATCAGATGGCTGCAGCCAGTGATGAAGAACCTCCATACGCTTCGCACGTTCCCTACCAAATTCATTCTCACCAACGACACCAAAGTCTGTTTCAACATAAGCGTCAACAGCATCAACGAATGCTGGCCGATGGGGCCTCTCCCGGTCCAGGTGACGGAAGATTTTTAAATAAGTCAGTACCAGCAGTGACTACAGTAGTAAACGTTCCTGTTGTTCAACAGCAAAAGAGAGACTCCAGAGTTGATAAGTCGCCTCGCATCAATGATGAACCAATTGGAACTGAATGGGCGGACAGAGCCTCCGATACTGAAACTGTTCATAATTATCATTCTTCTAGGCCAGAAATATACCAAACAGATCCTGTTCTTGGCCCTCTTCTCGGAACTACTAAGGGAGGTTCTGGGACAGCTGGAAGTGGCGGCGGAGGTTTCACTGGGGGTTGGATTACGCAAGTAGATGCAGCACAAGATGAACGGCCTGGAATGAAGCGTCTTACAAAATCAGGACAAATGGTATACGCTGGGGAACCAGAGACGATCTGTGGACTAGCAAGCAGTGAGGCTGATGAAGAGTATACACTTGCGGTAATTTCGGAACCGGAGGATACATTAACGGAGCAAGTAGACTACTGCTGTCTCTGCGCAAGGCCCACAGAGAGTCGGTGTCCTGGTTGCAAATGGGCCGCTTATTGCAGGTGGTTTTACTTTTCTGCCTCAATATTACACCGCTGTGTTCATTTTATTTTTACCGCCTTTAGACATTATATTTATCATGTTCTTTACTTAAGTTTAACGATGATGTTTCCGGGACGAACAAGCACTAGAAGGAGTACACTGGTAGGAATAAATATGTCCCCATTTTATTTAAATTTATTAGAAACATATATTTCCTTTTAGTTCTCTAGTATGAAGTGAACCCATTCTCTCATCAGATGGATTACCTTCTTCAGCTTTCATCGATCCATCCGGTTAATACTAAGGCCGTTATATAACGAGCTGTCGAATCAGCGTTTGAAGGAAGACACTATTTCATCTTAATCTGACTCTCAATTAATTTAATGAGTGAAAACTCCTAATTTTTCATATGCTCTTTAAGGATTTATTATATAAAGAGCTTTTTATTGGATGTACTTAAAAGCCAAGTACTACGAGCTGTAGGCTAACCTGGAATATTATCCATTATATAATGCGGATTTAATGGTGAAACCTTTATCAACCTAAGACCGAATTGTTTAGAATAGCTTCTCTAAAACTTCTCGTGCAGCAACAGCTTTACTCATTTACATAAGATATATTCACTCTATTTCATTTAAGGTGATGAAAGACAGGTAGTTAAATCTTTCCATAGTGATATAAGTAGGCCTTACGTTTTTATTGAATTTCTCATAGCCTTTCTCCAAAAAGGTATTCCCACTCCGGGTGGACTACAGTTTGAACCTCGCCTAGGTCTCATTATCAGCTTCAGTGGTTATCGAACCGTAATAATGCAGCATATAATCTATACACGTTAACCTATACGCCAAATTGTCACGGATATCCTTAGGTCAAAGAACAGATGATAATTTCAAGAGTTCAAATCTCGCTGAGTTTGCTGATGAGACATATGCGAGGCCGAAAACTGCTGTCTACCCTGGATGAGAATAGCTTTAGTGTAGCACGGCAATGTGAAATTTAATTAGACCTTTAGGTCTACCCACATCATTGTAGAAATATTCAACTACCAGTCCTTCATAACCCTAAACGAAATATGTTGAACACATCTCATATATATGATTTACTGGTAGTTATGATGCCTACTTAATAAACGTAAAATAAGTAATGTGATATGCGAAAAGGCCTGGCCTTCCTGCCCAATGATCCATAGGCACTGTTGACAATACGGCGTATTTGCTGACATGTAGAGATTATACCAGAGTTTGACTCCGCTGAGGGCGCCGACGAAACCTGGGAGATTTTTAAACTAATATAGCCTGGATTATAATATTTTAGAAAGCAAGGTTATGTGAAATTAATTGAAAACCTGAGGCGTGAGGTGCTCTTATATCTTTTACGATAAATCATTAGAATAATTTTTTGAACATTTTTTTGGGAAGCATATTAGCTTATTTGCTTCACACAAAGCAATATTCTGTACAAGTTATCCTGCATTTGCTATGAGTTTTAAATCATGTCTAAGGCCTGACGACAATCAGCCATTATCTACCAATCTAAACTTATCCCAATAACAGGGTTCTTAACATCATTTCATCCATATCTTACGATTCGGGTCTATCAAAATAATTTAGTCCAGTTTTGTTATAAGCGCTTGTCTGCTTCTCTAATAAGAATTATACTTAATTTGGTTTAAATATTCTACTTTTATCGGTACAGCGCTCTTCAAAATATAAGTTTTCACTGTAAAAATCTATCCCAATCCCAATGTGCCACTAATTCTAATGCTTTTAATTATAAGTATACTACCTAAGACAACTATGGCCTTTCAAACCAGCCTTTTGTGGGACAAATCGTGGAAACGCTTTAAGGGTATATGAAATAAATAAATTTTACGACAAAAGTAAGTTTCTATTCAATTCTTCGTTAGCAGCTCAAGTAACAGTACCTCGACATCCGATTGAATTCCTATACGGGAATTTCTAAAAGATTCGATAGTATTACTACTGCATCTACGAATTCATTTCTACAAATATTTACATTTGTTACTTTCCGGACCATTGTAAAAAACACCTTATAAACTTAATTATCATGTGATTGCATGCATTAGCATGTGTCCTGACGTTTAATAATGATAAAAAGGACAGTCGAGATTAATAGTAGAGTCTTAGAATCAGACGAAAAATGTCTTATTTCGCCTTACATTAAAGTAATAATCATT